ATGTTCTACTTTCACATGTTTTGAACTTTTGCACAGTAAAAAAGTCTTCTTAAAAAGAAAAAAGAACATAAGAACTAAACTTTGAACAAGACTTACACATGAAGAATCTTAAATTCCAGGGCTTTAAATTACTTAGTAAAATCACAAGACTAGGACTCATTACTGCAGCTAGAATCTTTGTCTTAGAACAATGCTCTCTATACATTACACTCAAGAAATTATAACACTGATCAGTGTTGAGATGATTAAAATATTTACTGACCCAAATTATACAACTTTGTTCAACTGCCACAGTGTACCAGGTACCATTCTAAGCTTTTTATGTGTATTAATTCCCTTCATGTACACAGCAACAATAAGAGATAAGAACTGTTATTAGTTTTCCTATCTTACAAAGAAATTTGAGACTTTGGCCCAAAGCAAGATTCAAACCTTGGCTGTTTCCAAAATTCTGAAATACTATGTTATATTGCATGTATTAAATAAAGTAATCATCTTGTTAAAATTTTAACTCAAGCATGAAATCAAAAATGTGCAGAACAGAAACTTAAAAAGATAGACCCCCCCCACACACACACTACACAGATCAGATTAAAAAAATACAACAGGGCCTTAAAATGAAATAAAGAAGTATTCATAGGACAATAATTCTCTTTTGTTATTTGTATAATAACAAATGGCTCCTCCATATATCTGACATTTTTTCTGTTCTTAATTTTTGGTACCATAAAACCAAACAGTTTTGTGGTTTGAATGTACAGTATCCGAAAAGTCTTAACAAGGTAATAGCATTGTACTTCACTTCAAATCATATTCTTGTAGAAATATCCAAAATATATTAGATGACATAAAAATAAAACCAATCTTTTCATAACAGTAATTTCATAATTTTTCAATAATTTCATAATTTTCGGTTCTGAAACCAAGATAATAGAGGTCAGGCTGTTAGTTTACTATCTCTCTGCTTAACTGACATCTAAGTTACAAAGTAATGATGCTGAAATCAATTGGGAGACAATTATCTGCCACTGTATACACACTCACAGATTACAATCAGAGCAAATAACTGGTGAACAGAAATGCGGATGATTGCTTAAAAGCAATCACAACAAAGTTTTCTGTATAAAACATGACATATAAAATTAGGAGCATATTTTATTGTAACTGTTCTTTTCTTAAATCTCCTTCCCACAGTTCAACTTTCCTCACAATAGAATTCAACAAATGATGGTATTTACAATTTTATCAGTGAGCCTATGAAATAAACTGGCATATTTTCCTTTTCTCTGAGATTGATTTTTATTATATCTGGAGAAGCAAAATTAGACGCCTGTCATAACATGCATCATTATATCACGGAACCAGAAATATCACAAAGTAAAGCAAGTCCCCAAAGGCATTACTACATGCAGTAAAAGCTCCAACTTACATAATTAACCTATCCATTGAAAAACTGGTTGCAACAGTTGTGACATCCATGAACTTATAAAAATTAGTGTTCAGGGCCAGGGATGTAGCTCCATGGCGCTGCGCCTACCTGGCAAGTGCAAGGTCCAGATTCCCAG